CTCATGTTTCTTGCTATGAAATATATTGTGAGATTATATAGAAGTATTAGTTTTAACTTGCTAAGGCAGCAGTCTTTTCCACCTTTCCCTGCTGTAAATCCCATTAAACCTGATGAAGATTTCTACTAAGTAAGATATATTAGATTGACTTTTATATGTGATTTCACTTGATGTCCCTGATTACATACAAACATACATACATACATACATATATAAGAGTTGGCACATGTTTTTTCATTAAGAAATATGTATTTTTCTTTACATAATATGAGTCATTTATTTTTTTTCTGCAACCAGCTTCTCTGATTCAAAATCAATTTTAATGGTCAGGAATGAAATAAGTTTAGTCCAACAATGTTTGAACAAGCTACAAGTTTGTGAATCCTGATGCGTATAAATCTGTGTTATCTAAAAATGAACAAAAATGACTTTTAGCCAGCATTACTATGGTTCAGCTTCCCAAGTTCAAGATTAGTGTGTTAAAGTATATAAATTATTATGCTCTTCTAGAAACAGATAGAAACTATAATGCATTAGTTTTGTAGCATAGAATATGAATGCTTGAGATGGCCTTAAATATTTTTTTTTATCCTGCCTTATTACTTCATAAGTAATTCAAGGTGGCAAACATACCTATTTTCCCCACAACAACAACCCTGTGAGGAGGGTTGGGTTGAGAGAGAGAGACTGGCGCAAAGTCACCCAGCCGGTTTTCATGCCTAAGGCAGGACTAGAACTCTCAGTCTCCTGGATTCTAGCCTTGCACCTTAATCACTAGCTCAAACTGGCTCTAGTATTGCTAAATAGAATAAATTCCAGGAAATACTGACTGGTAATTGATACCAAAATTGGCTGGCATGACTTCAAAATGTTCCATTTTTTTCTGTTATATCCCATTAAAAGTTTTTTTGTTATTGTTAACATTTCTTTTCCAAGTGAGTTGCATCCAAAAATTACATATCCATCTGCACTCAGTGTTCTGAAACCTTCTGTTTTGTATCCTCCTACTCCTGTCTTGCTAAAAATGTATCTTCAAAAAACATCGATCTTTTAAAAAATCGCACAGTATTAATGTGGATACATATGCTACATTTGAAACTCATTCAAAGCAGGCAACACATATCTTATAACTTTCAGCCTCTTTCTGGATCTCTGGTTGCAATGGATGAATGGACGTGATTGGGAAGCTGAGTTAGAAATTAAACAAGCAGTACATATATAGCACAATACACTAAGCTATGGGTTATTACTTATGAAGCCAAAAGCAAACCACATTATGGGCTAGCATGTTATATGTGGACCTAGCCATGTAGATTTTGCTGCTGGTGTTTCTTTTCATTCCAAATATATTTTAGGTGGTACAACTGCATATGTAGTTGTACCTGAAGACAATTTTAAGTACAGGTCAGGCCTTAATGATATGATTTTCTCTTAACAAAAAAATATTTTTCTATCATTCTAAATATATCTGCGTTGATTGTGATAGTACATCACTGAAAGAGAAAATCCCATTGAATACATTCAAAAGCATTGTCTTCAGCTTTAGTTTTCTTTATTACCTTACCCTGAATAGTTTATGGACTGAAATATGATCTATAGAAATGTAGAAAGCTGTTTTATTATAGACCATTAAACATTGCTAGAAATCAAGCAATACAGAAGACAGAGGAAGATAATTACCGTAGAGCTCACTGCTCTTTTTAGAAAGAGATTTTCATTCACAGGTCCATTTTAGTGTCAACAATTGTGCAAACTCTTACAATTAAAAATTAGATTGTATTCAACCTAATGGCTAAATGGCTAAATGAGGAGCCACTGTGGTTTATAAGCTATGATTTTTTACTTCTGCTACAGTAAATCCAACTGTTTCCTGAATAAACCATGATTAAGCCAACCATTGCTTAGTGCAGTTTGTAAACCCCACATAGCAAGGACACACAGGTCACTGTGGTAGAAATCTGGGAGGTAAAAGGACAGGCAGTTAGAAGACTGCTTCCTACAACACACTATTCCATAACATAATTTGTATGGTTCTGGTTTAGTGCACTATGTGAACACAAATAATGGTTCACTAAACCATGGTTATACAGTTTAATAAACTGTATACATTTTGATTCAAATTATGAATATTTGAATACAGTATTCAAATATTCATAATTAAACTATAGGTTGGCATAATGTATGAATCTAGCCAGCAATTTCATATACTAGGGCTTTTTTTTACAGCTTCGAAAATGTGCATTATCTCCTAACGATACAGAAGTGTCCACAAGGTAGGGTCAAAAAAGGCAAGATGGTAGCCACTGAGGCGTGATCAAAGCTGCACCTACAGTGATGTCATCTTGATTTTTTTGACCCTACCCTGTGGACACTCCTGTTTATATATAGGAAGCTACAGTTAGAACCCACACTGCCAGCATAAAAAGCAAAGAAAGTTCCTCAGTTGCCATTTCTGTACTAGTATGAGGAATCTTTGGCAAAGCAATGATGATTTCCATACAGCAATTTCTATATTTAGCACCATCTCTGTGAAGTTAAATCACTGCAGTATGGCTACCATATCTGGGCTGGAAATTTCAGTGCATCCACAAGATGGCCACAAAGAGATACCAAAACAGCTAACTCATTGCCATAATCTGGTGGTCCTACAGATATTTCCAGTCCAGGTATGGTTGCTTACGGGCCATCAAGATTTTCTCCGTGATGACCTATCCCTAACTTGTTCTTTCAGGTCTCTCAATGGTGCCCTCATTGACACTATAACTGAGTCCTTCCACCTTGCTGCTGGTCATCTTCTCTTTCCTTCCCCTTTCCCAGCATTAGAGCCTTCTCCAGAGAGCCAGGTCTTTGTATAACTAACGTATCTGAGTAGGGTAATTTGAGCCTGAGTCCAGATACGAGAGCCGGGTTTTTTATCATCCAATCAATGCCGGGGTGATCCTATACATTTTTCCCCACTGGCATGTAATCATGGCACAGACATGCCTGGCAAATAGCAACTTTTTTCTGCTGAGTCTCCATGAAGCTGCCTTCATCCCATTCCTAGCTCAGGGATGAGCTAGGCTGACCTCATATTTAGATGTACCAGTGTTAAAATAGTATCTTCTCCCTCATTCCCACATTATTCCACAGCAGTCTCAAGCAAAATCTGCCAAGCTTTGTTACCCAGAAGTCAGCCAATTGGAGTGACTTAAAGAGGCAATATAGGACACAGGTTGGCAAGGAGCCCGTACATTTCTCTGATTTGGGGACAGATAGTTTGGACTTAGAGAGCCAGTTTGGTCTAGTGGTTAAGGCACCAGGCTAGACACTGGGAGACCGTGAGTTCTAGTCCCTCCTTAGGCATGAAAGCTGGCTGGGTGACTTTGGGCCAGTCACTCTCTCAGCCCTCGGAAGGAGGCAATGGCAAACCACTTGTGAAATGTTGCCAAGAAAACTGCAGGGACTTGTCCAGGCAGCCGCCAGGAGCGAAGACTGACTCGAAGACACACGCGCACACACAAAGTTTGGACTTAACTGAGCAAGGGAAAAGACCCATCACTAAAGTAGAAATGCCCAATTAAGAGCCTGGTGCCTTTTTAAAGCCTCCCGTCGTCATAGTATGTACTGTACCAGCCTTTTCCGAAAGACACTAACCGCTCCCCCCTCCCCGTTTTTTCAGAACTGCTTCCACTTTCCAAATCAACATCGGCTTTGGTGCGCAGAGGGCACTGATTCTTCAGTGCGGTTTAGGTCTGGATATGACGCTCGGTCCGCATCGGATTGTGTAAGAGCTGACAGTTCCGGCCGCCCTGACTTTCTCTTAGTCATGCCTAACGGAAAGATAAGGCAGTTGCCTTCTGCAAAGGGTAGGGCGACGCATCACCCTGATAGCAACAACCCCTCGGTCCAGCCACTCGCTTTGCCGAGGAAAGGAAAGCAGAAATAGCACGCATGCGCACATTGCACCCATGCTCTGCCGTCCTCCCTCGACGCTCCCAACCAATGGAAGAAGAGAAGAGCCCGAGGGCGGTGGGCGTGGCTGCGGTGGTTAGGGCTGTGCCCGTCAGTACCGCGACGGGGGTAGGTCTCCGCGGTTTTGTACACAGTCGAGCGCGTCGGGGCGCGTGCGGAAGCCGTTTGGCCTTTCTCTGGGCCGCGCGGCGGGTGGCCCCCGGCTATGGCTGCTGGCGAGGGGGGCGACGAAGAGGTGCGAGTGCTGCAGACTCTCCGCGGAAAGATTTGTGAGTCACTGGGAGGGGTCGACTAGCAGGACCCGGTTCTCTGTATGTATGTACAAGTCCGTGGCCAGAGAGAGGCAGCGGGAGGGAAGGAGGAGGGAAATGCGTGTGAGGGCGGAGGTCGAAGACAAGGCGGGCAGAGCCGGAAGGAAGGGCCTGTGCCTTGGAGCGGCCTCTCTGACTCATCCGCCCCAGCCCCTGCTGCTTCCCCTGTGCTTTCATTGGGGGGGAGGTAGGGAAAGGGTTAGTCCGCCTCGTGGCGAAAGGCCACGAGCAGTCGGAGCAGAGGTGCATCATTACAGTAATTGTAATTATGATTAATGTATTTGTTGCTGTTCCTTCTTGTTTTGATACATTGCTTTTACAGTAATCCTCTTATTGGAGGGCTTTTGTAAGCCGCTCAGTCTTCATGGATTAAAGCGGCCTAAACCCCTGGAAAATAAAAATAAATAGTGAGTGGGAAAGCAGTGAGAAAAATCAATAAGCACATGCACTCACCCTTATGAGAAAAGGGGGAGGAATGGCTGAAGGTGGGAGTTGAAGTGAAAGGAGAAAACAGAAGGGACTTCCAGAAGAAAGGCTTTGCAAGTGGGTATAGCATTACTATTTGGGGTAGCCAAATAATATAACAGGATGGCCGTTTAGCTGGGAATGTGGAGGGTTGTAACCCACTAGGATCTGACAGCATCAGGATGGGAAAGGCTGGCATCTAAAGTAAGATCTGTTTGTGTAAGTTTCGGAACTACAAACTATTTGGTGAAAGATTTAGAAGCGAAGCAAGGCAGTTGTCCACTTTTTCTCTTGCCTGAAGCTAACTCTCATTTCCTAACTGTTACTTGGAAGCTTTTATTGTGTGCTATGTTTGATAGATGTTGCCCAATTCTGACTATGTGGAAACTGTTCTCTTGTGGTAACACTTAATGTTTTTAGGTATATATTTGATTTTGGTTATGTAACAAAGTAATGTGAAAAACCCTTGAAATTTCTCTTCATAATTAAATTTCCAGGGGGCTAGGTTTTTTAGTCTACTGAGCAACAAATAGTATTTTGACAGGCTTAAAAATAACGTATCATAAGAGTACTTACTAAGGAATCCCATGTAACTTTAACACCTGTAGGTTGTGTCATGTCAAAATAATATTTGACACCTATGGCCCACATATGAACTATTATTGCCATTGCTGTCAAGTCAGTTCATCTGACATGCGTTATAATAAGTTACAAGTTGATGTCATGGGAGAGAAATGAAAGTGTGAATGTGCTGTGACATGAAGCTGTAACTAGTCTTGCATTTCTAGTAGTATAACAAGATTTCCTTGATCACACTTTAAATGCCAAGAAAAACCTCTGATTTAAATTGAGCTTACTATTGACAGGTCTTCATGTATTTGGTAAATAGTGTAAATCTGATTGTATTAATTCACAGATCACTACAGTAGTTTTCAAATCATATTTGTATGTGTAATAAAATTTACATACATGTATATAAAAATGCAGCTCCAGGCCTCAGGAATCATTAGAACATTCACATATGAAAAACAATGTATATCAAAACCTGAAAATGACATATATAATGTGTATAGTATACTTCCATGTTTAGCAACCCTGTTGGTTACTGACCAGCAGCTGTCCTTAACAAATGAATAATCACAATTTAAAATGTATCTTCTCCTGAAACTGTTGTAGAAATCAGATTTTTCCTTCCCCACTCCAAATTTATTTGTAGCTTGAAATAGAACTATCACTTTTCCTATTTTTTCTCCCAATTCTTACACATTTTTAAGCTTTATGAAAATATTACCAAATAATGCAAATGTTCTTTCTGTGTCTACAAAGAAACATCTTTGTAGCTGAAGGAAGGAGACTAATTAAAGTGCCTAAGCAATGGTTTAGTTCAAAGGGTTTGACTAATGATTTTCACCAATTCACAGGAGTGAGCTTCTCTAACATCTTATCCTTAGCCTGAAGTATATTATGACTGAAAAAAATTGAACAGCATGCCCATGTTTGATGGGTAGATAACAGTATATTTGTTTAGGACAGAACCATACATTCATTTGTATTAATTTAAAAAAATAGTATATTAAATAGATTTAACCGTAACCGTAACATTTTAACATTTATTGATTTGCTCATATCTGTTCTGTAAAATTGAGACCTGTTTGACAAGAAGTGTTTTTCAAGTGGGACATGTTTTGTTACTTGCATGTGGTTTATCAGGATATTTTATAAATGACCACAGTATGGGAAGAGGGAGCATGTTTTATTTATATATTATTATTAAACTTGATATAAAAGTGACTATCAAAATGGGTTGAAAGTTAATAGAACTTTGGAGTCCTTGGGATTCTCTGAGCTTGGTTGTTTCGTTGCAGACATTTCATTACCCGGCTAGGTAATATCTTCAATGCTAGGACTTAGTAATAATAGTAATAATAATAATAATTAATGGGACATGTTGCTGGTTAAGAACAAAGATGCGTCTTAACTTGAAGGTAGAAAATGTAAAAATATGGTCTGAGATATAAGAAATAAAAAAGTGATAATGTTATGAGTCAATTTTAGGGTAACCGGAACAAACAGGATGTAGTGGTTTTGTTGAAATGGGAGGAACTGAGGTACTTTCATGTAAGTCAAATGTAACCCATTTCCTTTCTCACGCCTTTATTAGTTTTTTTTTTTAATTGGTTTACACCATGGATAACTTCCATTTGTAAGCAGAACAAGATTTCATGTTTCAGTTGAATTGCACTGAACAGCGAGGTATTTAATATGCATATAAAATAATGTATTAAATCTTATCCCTCAGATTCATTTAAAATAATTACAAGAAAAATAGTTTCAGTGAAAATGTATCTTGAAATATAACCTTGTATTCTAGATTTGGTTTAAAAAATTGCCTGCTTTCAAAATTTTTAGTATTTACAGTGTATTATTACACTTTCAAAATGTTGCTTTAGGCTTGCTAACCAGTTGTATTTGATTTTATCCCGTCAAATCTCTGTACTGTATCAGTTTCTCTTTGAGATGCTGAATTTAGTTTTAATAAACAAGAACCTGTCATAAAAGCATATATCCCAATTCCTACAAATCTTTTTTAAAATAAATACTGCATTTCATTCTGCTTACGTATTTTAATATAAATTAGTGAAATAATTATTTTCATCATATACATGTATGTGTGCATTTGGGATTCTGATATACATGCCTGACATGTTGGATAACCAAAGGATTTATATTGCAACATGCTTTGCATGCTAGTAATCTGATTTTTTTTTAAAGTATTCTTTTCTGTTTTACTTCCATTTAGAATTTGTTAGTGCTGCGTAACAATCTAGATTTGAAGGGAGAAATGATTCAGAGTATGTATGTAGTACCTATGGTGCTTTCACTATCAAACATGTCTTTTTCTGGCCACATAAGGCCCGCATGCATTTTTTTAAGGATTTGCTTAATGAATTCACCCTGCGTGTTCCATTTTATTTTTTCCCAGTTGAATCCAGATCACTACAGAATCCCAATATTTGTATAGTGTCTTTGTAATGCTTTTGAGATAATAGGATTACTGAGATAATAGGTTAGGTACCTTAAATATTTCTCTAATAAACTAGTGTTATCTTATTTGTAGACTTTTTAATATGGGACTATACAATTTTTGTGCACTGAGGGTCACACTTGTCCTTAAAGTGGATTTCTGTGAGGTGCACTCCTCAGAATAGTTGAAGCCTGAACAAAAATTAGGTGAGACTTGGGTGAGATTGAAATATGATGTAATTTGTATTTAAGCTGAATTAAATGGAGTTCCGTAATTATCCCCATGTGATATATTAAATATGGTTTTTAAGGGCTGTACTCAAGGCAGGTAGGAGCAACATTTGGCTTTGGGGTCTCAGGTTGTGTGTGTGTGTGTGTGTGTATTAAGAGAAAATGAGGGGAAAAAATCCTACTGGTAATTAGATAATCTGTTGTAGTTTTTCACAATCCTGTGATTTTCTGGTATGTGTTTCCTAATTAAACTGGCTGGGATTTATGGAAGTTGTGGTTTGCCACTTCAGGAGGACTCCCAAATTTTGGTAAGCTAATTTATAGCAGTAAATAAGACAATGATGTTTGTTAGTTACTTACTCCACTGTGCTGTTCTTTTTTTTAACATGATGAGAATAAAAGCTTCACAACATTTCAGCAACTGAAATTAAAAAAAAAAAAAAAGCCTTAGTAAATTACAGCTAAAATGTGTTAATGATGGATGATGAATCCAGATATAATTCATAAGGGCTAGAAAGCAATCTGAATGCTTCTTTCTGCCATCCATTAATAGTCTGTGCAGTGAGAGGACAATCCATGTCAGACAATAAGTATGGATTGCAGGAAGCTACTTTGTACTAGAAGCAGCCCCAAATGACTGGTCTATTAATAAAGATTATGAGATTCTTTTTGCTTTAAGATGCTGTCTCTCCAGTTATCCAAGAAGGGCCAAGATAGAACTGTGCATTGTATTACAGTCAAAGTACAGTGGTACCTCTAGTTACGAACTTAATCCGTT